AAACCTTCAAGCTGCATACTGGATCCTATTCCTACTAAACTGCTGAAGGAGCTGCTTCCTGTGCTTGGCCCTCCTATGTTGAACATAATAAACAGCTCTCTATCCACCGGATGTGTACCAAACTCACTAAAAGTGGCAGTGATAAAGCCTCTCTTGAAAAAGCCAAACCTTGACCCGGAAAATATAAAAAACTATCGGCCTATATCGAATCTTCCATTCCTCTCAAAAATTTTAGAAAAAGCTGTTGCGCAGCAACTCACTGCCTTTCTGAAGACAAACAACGTATACGAAATGCTTCAGTCTGGTTTTAGACCCCATCATAGCACTGAGACTGCACTTGTGAAGGTGGTAAATGACCTTTTAATGGCGTCAGACCGAGGCTCTGCATCTGTCCTCGTGCTACTAGACCTTAGTGCTGCCTTTGACACCATCGATCACCACATTCTTTTGGAGAGACTGGAAACCCAAATTGGTCTACACGGACAAGTTCTGGCCTGGTTTAGATCTTACCTGTCGGAAAGATATCAGTTTGTCTCTGTGAATGGTCTGTCCTCCGACAAATCAACTGTACATTTCGGTGTTCCTCAAGGTTCCGTTTTAGGACCACTATTGTTTTCACTATATATTTTACCTCTTGGGGATGTTATTCGAAAACATAATGTTAACTTTCACTGCTATGCGGATGACACACAGCTGTACATTTCAATGAAACATGGTGAAGCCCCAAAATTGCCCTCGCTAGAAGCCTGTGTTTCAGACATAAGGAAGTGGATGGCTGAAAACGTTTTACTTTTAAACTCGGACAAAACAGAGATGCTTGTTCTAGGTCCCAAGAAACAAAGAGATCTTCTGTTAAATCTGACAATTCATCTTGATGGTTGTAAAGTCGTCTCAAATAAAACTGTGAAGGACCTCGGCGTTACTCTTGACCCTGATCTCTCTTTTGACGAACATATCAAGACTGTTTCAAGGACAGCTTTTTTCCATCTACGTAACATTGCAAAAATCAGAAATTTTCTGTCCAAAAATGATGCAGAAAAATTAATCCATGCATTTGTTACTTCTAGGTTAGACTACTGCAATGCTCTATTTTCCGGCTACCCGGATAAAGCACTAAATAAACTTCAGTTAGTGCTAAATACGGCTGCTAGAATCCTGACTAGAACCAAGAAATTTGATCATATTACTCCAGTGCTAGCTTCCCTACACTGGCTTCCTGTTAAGGCAAGGGCTGATTTCAAGGTTTTACTGTTAACCTATAAAGTGTTACATGGGCTTGCTCCTACCTATCTTTCCGAGTTGGTCCTGCCGTACATACCAATACGTACGCTACGGTCACAAGACGCAGGCCTCCTAATTGTCCCTAGAATTTCTAAGCAAACAGCGGGAGGCAGGGCTTTCTCCTATAGATCTCCATTTTTATGGAACAGTCTGCCTACCCATGTGAGAGACGCAGACTCGGTCTCAACCTTTAAGTCTTTACTGAAGACTTATCTCTTCAGTAGGTCATATGATTGAGTGTAGTCTGGCCCAGGAGTGTGAAGGTGAACGGAAAGGCTCTGGAGCAACGAACAGCCCTTGCTGTCTCTGCCGGGCCGGTTCCCCTCTCCACTGGGGTTCTCTGCCTCTAACCCTGTTGCAGGGGCTGAGTCACTGGCTTGCTGGTGCTCTTTCATGCCGTCCCTGGGAGGGGTGCGTCACTTGAGTGGGTTGAGTTACTGACGTGATCTTCCTGTCTGGGTTGGCGCCCCCCCTTGGTTTGTGCTGTGGTGGAGACCTCTGTGGGCTATACTCGGCCTTGTCTCAGGATTGTAAGTTGGTGGTTGAGGATATCCCTCTAGTGGTGCGGGGGCTGTGCTTTGGCAGAGTGGGTGGGGTTATATCCTTCCTGTTTGGCCCTGTCCGGGGGTTTCTTCGGATGGGGCCACAGTGTCTCCGGACCGCTCCTGTCTCAGCCTCCAGTATTTATGCTGCAGTAGTTTATGTGTCGGGGGGCTGGGGTTAGTTGGTTATACCTGGAGTACTTCTCCTGTCTTATCCAGTGTCCTGTGTGAATTTAAGTATGCTCTCTCTAATTCTCTCGTTCTCTCTTTCTCTCTGAGAACCTGAGCCCTAGGACCATACGTCAGGACTACCGGGCATGATGACACCTTGCTGTCCCCAGTCCGCCTGGCCTTGCTGCTATTCCAGTTTCAACTGTTCTGCCTGCGGTTACGAAACCCCTACCTGTCCCAGACCTGCTGTTTTCAACTCTTAATGATCGGCTATGAAAAGCCAACTGAGAGACCTGAGCCCTAGGACCATACGTCAGGACTACCGGCCGTGGTGACTCCTTGCTGTCCCCAGTCCGCCTGGCCTTGCTGCTATTCCAGTTTCAACTGTTCTGCCTGCGGTTATGGAACCCCTACCTGTCCCAGACCTGCTGTTTTCAACTCTTAATGATCGGCTATGAAAAGCCAACTGAGATTTATTCCTGATTATTATTTGACCATGCTTGTCACTTATGAACATTTTTGAACATCTTGGCATGGTTCTGTTATAATCTTCACCCGGCACAGCCAGAAGAGGACTGGCCACCCCTCATAGCCTGGTTCCTCTCTAGGTTTCTTCCTAGGTTTTCGCCTTTCTAGGGAGTTTTTCCTAGCCACCGTGCTTCTACACCTGCATTACTAGCTGTTTGGGGTTTTAGGCTGGGTTTCTGTACAGCACTTCGAGATATTAGCTGATGTAAGAAGGGCTATATAAAATAAAATTGATTGATCCTGAGGCCCATTGTCGTGCCATTCATCCGCCGCCATCCCCTCATGTTTCAGCGTGATAATGCACAGCCCCATGTCGCAAGGATCTGTACATAATTCCTGGAAACTGAAAATGGCCCTGTTCTTCCATGGCCTGCATACTCACCAGACATGTCATCCATTGAACATGTTTGGGATGCTCTGGATCAATGTGTTCGACAGCGTGTTCAAGTTCCCACCAATATCCAGCAACTTCGCAAAGCCATTGAAGAGGAGTGAGACAACATTCCACAGGCCACAATCAACAGCCTGATCAACTCTATGCAAAGGATATGTCGCACTGCATGAGGCAAATGGTGGTCACACCAGATACTGACTTGTTTTCTGATCCACGCCCCTACCAACAGGTGCATATCTGTATTCCCAGTCATGTGAAATCCATAGATTTTAATGTATTTATTTTACCTTTATTTAACTAGGCAAGTCAGTTAAGAACAAATTCTTATTTACAACGACGGCCTACACCGGCCAAACCCGGACGATGCTGGGCCAATTGTGTGCCGCCCTATGGGACTCCCAATCATGGCCAGTTGTGATACAGTCTGGAATCGAACCAGGGGTCTGTAGTGACGCCTCAAGCACTGAGATGCAGTGCCTTAGACCACTGCGCCACTCGGGAGATTAGGCATTAAGGCCTAATGAATGTATTTCAATTGACTATTTTCCTTATATGATCTGTAACTCAGTAAAATCTTTGAAGTTGTTGCATGTTGGGTTTATATTTTTGTTCAGTGTAGATAACCTCTGTCTGAGAGGATTAACCTGAGTGAACTTGGAGAAAGTTATAGTAGCTTATTTTGATGTAATTTGGCTTCACTTTCAATCACTACCCCAAGCATAAAAAAAAACAGTATTTGTCTGTTGTCTGTCTCCGTCAGCATAATCATTTTACAAGAGCTTCTGACATACAAAAGAGCGTCAACATACATCTCATTGAATTACGAAATGAACATGTCAGTGTGTGGTGTGTGGATTCAAAAAATGGAAAGCTCAGCACTACGATCGTCTTTAACACTGCCACAGCAGTCAAGGCATCCACTCAGGAAATCCTGGCTGGGGGAGTTGACTAAATGAAGGACTTTACCATTCACCATTATGTCTTTGGTGAGAGTCACAAGGACCCCCCGGGGCTTTTCAGCAGAACTCGGCAGCACAACTTTTCAAAGGGCTCCAGATTAAAGTTTCCCACTGGGGTCTGAGGCCAGAATTCCATTAAGCAGGCCTACCACACCGCTGGCCATAATTGTGTCTTTAAAAATTCAGAGCAGCGGTTGCTTGATAAGCGAATTTAGGGTGAAATAAAAGGAGGAAGTGAGGCAAGAAAGGAGGGAAGAGGCACCCCCCCCCCCCCCCCCCCCCCCCCAAAAAAAAAAAAAAATAGTGTTTCCAGATATCTATGAAATATTACCTATAATTATTTACAATGAGTGAAATGGTGGTAAAAAAAATATTCATGGGAGTAGACTGCTGATTGGCCAGCTCAACCAATTATCATGTTCTATGAGGAAACAGCAAGCATTTCTGAAACAGTCTAAGATATGAGAGTGTCTTTTGGGGGGGGGGGTTCTCCAATTTATGATTTGGCCAATATGAGCATAACAAGTCAACATTATTTGGGTACGAGTTAACAGAATATGAACTTTTACAAGTGAGATTTTCACTGGACAGTTGCTTTAAATGACTGAGGGAGAGGTGAGCACTTCATAAAGCAGTCTGTCTGGAGCCTGGGCTACTCCTGTAGGAGTGAAGGTCCTAAAGAACGCTGATAAATGGAAACATTGCCAGTATGATTGTTGAGTCTACTACTGCCTCTGCTAGATTGAGGAATAATAGTGATCTTTTTGTACACTGCTGGGTATGATATTGAAGTAAAGAAGGAAAAAATGACACATTTTGACAAAGCCGTGGGTCAAAACAAGGAATAAGTTATTAAATAATCCTTGATTGATTCCTGTCTTAATTTTAGTTGATATGGTATAATGCCCTTTTGCTTCCATTTTGAAGATGAGAGTACTACAGTATATCTTTTTTAATCTGTGATAAGGTGCTCGATTTCTGCTTGCAGAAAAATATTATTTTAGCACCAGCACGTCACAAAGATAACATAATGAATCTGAAGAAAGTAACACTGTCACCATAATGCAATGAATGCTATAGAAGTCAGAAAATAATAGGGCATCTTGTGAATAAAAACAAAGATGGTACATAAACAAGTTGACTTTATTAAGTATTTTGATCCAATAACATTCACTTCAAAGAAGTTCAACAACATACTGTTTGTTACCTTAAGTGGGCAGAGGGGAGACCTCATTGTAGGTCTGAATCCTAACTTGAGATCCATACATTTGACTTAGACTTCCACATAAACCATGCATTGATGGCAATGTGAGATTTGTGTGACTAACTCAACATACCAACCTAGATCAAGTTAAGATTCAGCCCTTAGTGTGTGACATGAAAGCTGTTTTTGGGCCTGTAAACCTTTGGAACTGTAAACACGTTTGGATGTTTGCAGACCAAATATGCTGCCTTCACGGAAGTGCTTAATGAAAGCCAGTGGTTCAGTAACGACTTCAAGTAGACTTCTTCTGTTTTTTCTTCTCTGCCTCCTCTTCCTTCTCTTTCTCTATCTCAGCCACCAGGGTCTCAATTTCTTTGGACTCCAATAACTACATGGAGTAGAAAATACAGCAATTAGCCCATAGACACAAATACATTTGCAAAGCAGTAAATACTAGGACAAGAGACCAAGACCCTAAGAAAAAGAAAACTCCTTGATGAGATTACCTTCAGTGGCTGGTTTCTTCTAATCACAGCAAGTTCAATGTTCTTCCCACCAGACTGAACCACCTGTAGACATAGTTCAAAGGCAAATGTACGCATATAAATATGCCTGATGGCTTTCAGGTGCAAACCTATGCTGAATTGCAAATTGACCCCCTTCCCTTGCCCCTAGACAATGTATGTAACATCCAGAATTCCTGTAGGTATAAATAATATGCTAATTGTGTAGCTCTATCTTGCCCTCTAATTGGCTAGGTGGCATTTTTGCCATACTGGATATACCAATTCAATTGCCTCAGATCTAGAAGTGCCTAAGGAGTAGGGGTTAGGGGTCAGTTTGGAATTTGACCTCACCTCAAGCAAGGCTTTGATGGCCAGCTTTATCGCCTCATTGTCAGTGGCGATGGCTTCGTCTGTGTAGTTCTTCTCCAGGAACTCCCTCACTGTCTTAGCACTACGGCCAATCGCATTTGCCTGAACAAAGGGATGGGAAACAAATCAGTACCTCAGTATTTCTAAACAATAAAAGAAAAACAATTTAAAAATACACCTCAAAAGGAAAATGTTGTTCTCCTACTAATGTTGATTTAAAAAAACAGACCTGAACATTTAGGATAAGAAATGTTCAAATTTTTGCTACGATACACTTCAGGCACACTAGTTATAGACACTATAGCTGTGAAGAAAGTTAAACATATTTGGCTGTGGAGAAAGGTAAGGAATCTTTGTGGATTGGCTGACCTTCCATGCATGGTATGTTCCAGAGGGGTCAGTCTGATAGAGCCTGGGGGTCCCATCACAGTCAAAACCCACGATCAAGGCAGAAATGCCAAACGGTCTGCGTCCATTGCTCTGAGTGTAGCGCTACAGAATTAAAATATCAAAACCGGTTATGAACACAAAACTGACCTTCAAAGACCATTCAGTCAGGCATCATCTGAACTGGGGGGGGGGGTTATGTAGTTAGTAATTAGAGATCAAATATCCACACAAACATCTTTTTCATTTCCTCTTTGCTTCACCTCATCAAAATACAAGTCCCACATAAGCTACTGCTTTCTGGCACACATGCATGGGGTTTTTATTATTATTTTTGGAGTCTCATGGGTGGCAATAGAGCCCCACAGTGAAGTTGTCATAATACCCATAAAACCTAGCGGTCAAACAGGGAAATTATTCCAATCGGTTTTCCACCATTCATGTTTCCCATAGGGGATTTTAGAAACACTTAAAGTAAGGGCTGTGTTTCGTCTAGGCTTACCCTGGCATGAGTTTTGATAACCATGTAAATCTCTCTCGGACAAGGTGACTTATCAATATATTCAGCTCTATTTACTCTCAGATTCGAAAATGCTAATTAGCATCAAAGTAGACATCATGCAAGACTACAAATCCCTGCAAGATCCTAGATGACACCTTTGCTAACAGGTTGTGTCAATTTAAAACTTGGTCAAGACAGTTCACAGAATTGTCAATTTAAAGAAATGTAGCCAATTTATATATTACTAAATTTGGCTAACATTAGATAGTTAATCCAGAGATTATTACCTTTGCCTCGATTCGGCAGCCTCATCCAGATCATCATGGCATTTGTAGTTCTTCATGATAGCCATATTAGCAGCTAATTAGCATTTCATTTTGGGGGGGTAAATACAGGCAAATATATTGATAAAAGTCACCTTGTCCTAAAGACATTTACTCGGTTATCACAATGTCATGCCAGGGTAAGCCTACACGAAAATAGCCCTAATTTTAATTTTCTAAAATTCTCTATGGGGAAAAATGTATGGTGGAAAAACGATTGGAACCATTTCCTTGTTTGACCTCTAGGTTTTGTGGGTATTATGACTCATACTGTGGTACTCTATGCAAAGCCGTTAGGGGCTGTTTGTTCTTAGTTCGAGGGACGGGGTCTACCTGTTTAAGTATGGCGATGTAGGCTATCCTACCTGTTTCAGGGTGGCGATGTGTCGTGTGATGTACTCCACGGTCACTGGGTCCTCCACAGTGAGCCTGTGACTCTGGCACTCCACACGAGCTCTGTTGATCACGATGCGGGCATCTGCTGTCAGACCTGACAGACAGCTAGTTAAATAAGATCAAACCTTCCAGCTGGTTTCAATTTCAAGCAAATTAATGAAGTTTATAGGTACCTGCGAATGCCATACAGACATGGTCGTCTAGGGCGCATATTTTGCGGACTGTTCTTTCCTCTTGTAGCTTGGCCACGGACTTCTTCTCAACTCCAAGGACAACAATGTCTTTGCCCCTGATGCCCACCTAATGTTATAGGAATAAATGGGGAAATTAAACAGTCAGCTAGCTATTTAAACAAACAGTGCATGCGCTCTGTGACAGTTAGCTAGCGAGCTTTGCTAAGTAACTGTTAGCTTGCTAGCTAAGTAATCACACTGAAATTATTATGCAAGCAAACATATTCCATATAATAGCATTCAATTATAGAACATGATAGTTAGCTAGCTAGTAGTTGCTAGTAAATTGAGTTAGCTAGCTATAGCTATCAATTTGGGATGTCACTAGTTACCACAGCCACAAGGTCATAAACCCCACCTATTTTGACCATTTCTCATCTTTAAGGGTAGGAAGCATGAGTTTTACTCACCAAAGTAACAACAGTGTGGTCAAAGACTTAGTAACTTAGTTGTAGTCATGATCTGTTTACCTATAACTACAACCATACAGGTGCAGCTCAATAAATTAGAATATTGTGGAAAAGTTAAGTCATTTCAATAATTCAATTGACAAAGTGAAACTCATATTGTGGATTAATTACACAAAAAGTGAAATAGTTCAAGCCTGTATTTGTTTTAATCTTGATGATTACGGCTTACAGCTCATGAAAACCCCAAATTCAGTATCTCAGAAAATTAGAATATGACATAAGACCAGTGAAAAAATGAAATGTAATACAGACATGTCGGCCTTCTGAAAAGTATGTTCTTGTACATGCAGTCAGTACTTGGTTGGGGCTCCTTTTGCATGAATCACTGTATCTATGCGGCGTGGCATGGAGTCGATCAGCCTGTGGCACTGCTGAGGTATTATGGAAGCCCAGGTTGCTTCGATAGCGGCCTTCAGCTCGTCTGCATTGTTGGGTCTCGTGTCTCTCATCTACCTCTTGACAATACCCCATCAATTCTCTATGGGGTTCAGATCAGGCGAGTTTGCTGGCCAATCAAGCACAGTAATCCCATGGTCATTGAACCAGGTATTGGTACCTTTGGCAGTGTGGGCAGGTGCCAAGTCCTGCTGGAAAATGAAATCAGCATCTCCATAAAGCTTGTCAGCAGAAGGAAGCATGAAGTACTCTAACATTTCCTGGTAGACGGCTGAGTTGACTTTGGACTTGATGAAACACAGTGGACCAACACCAGAAGATGACATGGCTCCCCAAATCATCACTGACTGTGGAAACTTCACACTGGACTTCAAGCAACTTGGATTCTGTGCCTCTCCACTCTTCCTCCAGACTCTGGGACCTTGATTGCCAAATGAAATGCAAAATTTACTTTAATCTGAAAAGAGGACTTTGGACCACTGAGCGATAGACCAGTTATTTTTCTCCTTAGCCCAGGTAAGACGCTTCTGCCGTTGCCTCTGGTTCAGGAGTGGCTTGACACGAGGAATGCGACAGTTGTAGACCATTTCCTGGATACGTCTGTGCGTGGTGGCTCTTGATGCACTGCCTCCTGCCTCAGTCCACTCCTTGTGAAGCTCTCCCACATTTTTGAATGGCCTTTGCTTGACAATCGTCAAGGCTCCGGTTATCCCTGTTGCTTGTGCACCTTTTCCTACCACACTTCTTCCTTCCACTCGATTTACCATGAATATGCTTGGATACAGCACTCTGTGAACAGCCAGCTTCTTTAGCAATGATCTTTTGAGGCTTTCCCTCCTTGTGGAGGGTGTTGATGACTGTCTTCTGCACAACTGTCAAGTCAGCAGTCTTCCCCATGATTGTGAAGCCTACTGAACTGGACTGAGATACCATTTAAAGGCTCAGGAAACCTTTGCAGGTGTTTTGAGTTAGTTCGCTGATTAGAGTGTGACACCTTGAGTCTACAATATTAAACTTTTTCACAATATTCTAATTTTCTGAGATACTGAATTTGGGGTTTTCATGAGCTGTAAGCCGTAACCATCAAGATTAAAACAAATATAGCCTTGAACTATTAAAATTTTTGTGTAATTAATCCACGATATGAGTTTCACTTTGTCAATTGAATTATTGAAATTACTTAACTTTTCCACAATATTCTAATTTATTGAGCTGCACTTGTAGTTACGTTTTAGCGTTTTTACATATTTATTAACTTATTTCCAGATATCTTCGTAACTACCCACAATTCACTATTTCTCACCGTCATACGGCGACCCGGTGCTAGATCCAGCTGGTTAACGTTAGCTACTAGCCATGCTAGCATGTAATTACATTCCAAACCAAGTGTTGGAGCTGGTGAGCTAATATGTACATCCATAAACAAGAAAAATTCATGTGAAAAACTGCAACGCCTCTTCTCCTGTGCATTTGGTAGTGGTATTCAAGTGAGCGTTGTAGTAGTTTTCCGTCATTTGTAGCCAGTTACTCCTTACTTGCAGTGCAGTGCAAGTAAGGAGTAACGACTCATTTGTTGCCCAAAAACGAGACGCAAACTTTGATGTTGGAACCATTTGAAGTGAGTAGATTGGAGTATGGGAACCGTGCGCACATCTACTGTATGCGGTGCTCATTTCACCCAGGACTTTGACGGCTTACTATAACCAGTGGAGGGCAGGATTCAGAATGAGACTGACTGAAACCAGGTGCTGTGCCGACGTTGATTGTGAAGCCTGCAACCATTATTTCCTACCGACCTACCAGTACATTGCGAGACAGCCTACAAGGGGGAGGTGAGGGCCTGGCAGAGTGGTGCCAGGAAAATAACCTCTCCCTCAACATCAACTAAACAAAGGAGCTGATCGTGGACTTCAGGAGACAGCAGAGGGAGCACGCCCCCATCCACATCGACAGGCCGCAGTGGAGAAGGTGAAAAGCTACAAGTTCCTCGGTGTACACATCACTGACAATCTGAAAAGGTCCACCCACACAGACAGTGTGGTGAAGAAGGTGCAACAGCACTTGTTCAACCTCAGGAGACTGAAGAAACTTGGCCCCTAAGACCCTCAAAAACGTTTACAGATGCATCATTGAGAGCATCCTGTCAGACTTTATCACCGCCCGAGAGACTGAAAAACAGCTTCTATCTCAAGGCCATCAGACTGTTAAATAGCCATCACTAGCCAGCCTCCACCCAGTACCCTACCCTGAACTTAGTCACTGTCACTAGCCGGCTACCATCCGGTTACTCATCCCTGCACATTAGAGGCTGCTGCCCTATGTACATACAGTGAGGGAAAAAAGTATTTGATCCCCTGCTGATTTTGTACGTTTGCCCACTGACAAAGAAATGATCAGTCTATAATTTTAATGGTAGGTTTATTTGAACAGTGAGAGACAGAATTTAAAAAAAATCCAGAAAAATGCATGTCAAAAATGTTATAAATTGATTTGCATTTTAATGAGGGAAATAAGTATTTGACCCCTCTGCAAAACATGACTTAGTACTTGGTGGCAAAACCCTTGTTGGCAATCACAGAGGTCAGACATTTCTTGTAGTTGGCCACCAGGTTTGCACACATCTCAGGAGGGATTTTGTCCCACTCCTCTTTGCAGATCTTCTCCAAGTCATTAAAGGTTTCGAGGCTGACGTTTGGCAACTCGAACCTTCAGCTCCCTCCACAGATTTTCTATGGGATTAAGGTCTGGAGACTGTCTAGGCCACTCCAGGACCTTAATGTGCTTCTTCTTGAGCCACTCCTTTGTTGCCTTGGCCGTGTGTTTTGGGTCATTGTCATACTGGAATACCCATCCACAACCCATTTTCAATGCCCTGGCTGAGGGAAGGAGGTTCTCACCCAAGATTTGACGTTACATGGCCCCGTCCATCGTCCCTTTTGATGCGGTGAAGTTGTCCTGTCCCCTTAGCAGAAAAACACCCCCAAAGCATAATGTTTCCACCTCCATGTTTGACGGTGGGGATGGTGTTCCTGGGGTCATAGGCAGCATTCCTCCTCCTCCAAACACGTCGAGTTGAGTTGATGCCAAAGAGCTCCATTTTGGTCTCATCTGACCACAACACTTTCACCCAGTTCTCCTCTGAATCATTCAGATGCTCATTGGCAAACTTCAGACGGGCATGTATATGTGCTTTCTTGAGCAGGGGGACCTTGCGGGCGCTGCAGGATTTCAGTCCTTCACGGCGTAGTGTGTTACCAATTGTTTTCTTGGTGACTATGGTCCCAGCTGCCTTGAGATCATTGACAAGATCCTCCCGTGTAGTTCTGGGCTGATTCCTCACCGTTCTCATGATCATTGCAACTCCACGAGGGCCAAGAAACACGAGCAATTGACATTAGACCAGTGGAAATCCAACCTCCGTGTCTTTGTGAGACGCAGAGTAGGTGAAGGTTTTATCTCTGCATGTGTGATTCCCACCGTGAAGTATGGAGGAGGAGATGTAATGGTGCATTGCTGGTGACACGGTCTGTGATTTATTTAGAATTCAAGGCACGGCACGCTTAACCAGCATGGCTACAACATTCTGCAGCGATACGCCATCCCATCTGGTTTGCGCTTAGTGGGACTATCATTTGTTTTTCAACAGGACAATGGCCTGAAACACACTTCCAGGCTGTGTAAGGGCTATTTGACCAAGGAGAGTGATGGAGTGCTGCATCAGATGACCTGGCCTCCACAATCCCCTGACCTCAACCCAATTGAGATGGTTTGGGGATGAGTCGGACTGTAGAGTGAAGGAAAAGCAGCCAACAAGTGCTCAGCATGTGGGAACTCATTCAAGACTGTTGGACAAGCATTCTAGGTGAAGCTGGTTGAGAGAATGCCAAGAGTGTACAAAGCTGTCATCAAGGCAAAGGGTGGCTATTTGAAGAATCTCAAATATGAAATATATTTAGATTTGTTTAACACATTTTTGGTTACTACATGATTCCATGTGTTATTTCATAGTTCTGTCTTCACTATTATTCCACAATGTAGAACATAGTCAAAATAAAGACAAACCCTGGAATGAGTAGGTGTGTCAACTTTTGACTGGTCCTGTATATATAATTTTTGATTACTCCGGACTCCGACATTGCTCGTCCTCATATAATTCTATAATTCTTAATTCCATTATTTTCCTTTTAGATTTGTTTGTATTGCTGTGCATTGTTAGATATTACTGCACTGTTGGAGCTAGGAACATAAGCATTTCGCTACACCTGCAATAACATCTGCTAAATATGTATGCGACCAATAAAATTTGATTTGGAGATAAACCGGGTACATTCAATGTGAATTTACCTCATTATCGCTATTGGATTAGCTAGCTGACTCTCCCTCTGAAGGAGTCTCCTTGGCTCTTTGACTTTGGTAACTAACTCAGCCGTCAATCGGTAAGTCCCTGCTCTCCACTTTATATCTGCTGGCTTTTTTTGTTGTTGTGTTCTGTTGGTTCCTGCCTGTGTTAGACTAGTTGTTCTCTGTCTTACTAAACTCAGCAAAAAAAGAAATGTCCTCTCACTGTCAACTGCGTTTATTTTCAGCAAACCTAACATGTGTAACTATTTGTATGAACATAACAAGAATCAACAACTGAGCGATAAACTGAACAAGTTCCACAGACATGTGACTAACAGAAATTGAATAATGTGTCCCTGAACAAAGGGGGGGGGGGGGGTCAAAATCAAAAGTAACAGTCAGTATCTGGTGTGGCCACCAGCTGCATTAAGTACTGCAGTGCATCTCCTCCACATGGACTGCACCAGATTTGCCAGTTCTTGCTGTGAGATGTTACCCCACTCTTCCATCAAGGCACCTGCAAGTTCACAGACATTTCTGGGGGGAATGGCCCTAGCCCTCAACCTCCAATCCAACAGGTCCCAGACGTGCTCAATGGGATTGAGATCCGGGCTCTTCGCTGGCCATGGCAGAACACTGACATTCCTGTCTTGCAGGAAATCACGCACAGAACGAGCAGTATGGCTGGTGGCATTGTCATGCTGGAGGGTCATGTCAGAATGAGCCTGCAGGAAGGGTACCACATGAGGGAGGAGGATGTCTTCCCTGTAACGCACAGCGTTGAGATTGCCTGCAATGACAAGCTCAGTCCGATGATGCTGTGACACACTGCCCCAGACCATGACAGACCTTCCACCTCCAAATTGATCCCACTCCAGAGTACAGGCCTCGGTGTAACGCTCATTCCTTCGACGATAAACGCGAATCTGACCATCACCCCTGGTGAGACAAAACCGCGACTCATCAGTGAAGAGCACTTTTTGCCAGACGGTGGGTTTGTGCCCATAGGCGTCGTTGTTGCTGGTGATGTCTGGTGAGGACCTGCCTTACAACAGGCCTACAAGCCCTCAGTCCAGCCTCTCTCAGCCTATTGCGGACAGTCTGAGCACTGATGGAGGGATTGTGCATTCCTGGTGTAACTCAGGCAGTTGTTGTTGCCATCCTGTACCTGTCCCGCAGGTGTGATTTTCGGATGTACCGATCCTGTGCAGGTGTTGTTACACGTGGTCTGCCACTGTGAGGACGATCAGCTATCCGTCCTGTCTCCCTGTAGCGCTGTCTTAGGCGTCTGACAGTACGGACATTGCAATTGATTGCCCTGGCCACATCTGCAGTCCTCATGTCTCCTTGCAGCATGCCTAAGGCACGTTCACGCATATGAGCAGGGACCCTGGGCATCTTTATTTTGGTGTTTTTCAGAGTCAGTAGAAAGGCCTCTTTAGTGTCCTAAGTTTTCATAACTGTGACCTTAATTGCCTACTGGTCTGTAAACTGTCTTAACCACATTAATTGTTTATGGTTCATTGAATAAGCATGGGAAACAGTGTTTAAACCCTTTACAATTAAGATCTGTGAAGTTATTTGGATTTTTTAGATTATCTTTGAAAGACAGGGTCCTGAAAAAGGGACGTTTCTTTTTTTGCTGAGTTTACTTAGCTATATTGACCGTGGTGGTTGGCTAGCTAGGCTAGTTCTGGTTAGCTAGCAGGCTAAATGACTGCATATACTGGTAATATTATTTGATAACTGTTTAGATGGCGTTATAATGTCCAACACTTTGGTTTACTTTAATGTAGCTGTAATCTAGGTGTTGATAGCAACCGGCTGACTCACGTAGTACTACCGTTAGCAGGCTAGTAGGGCTAACCTTAGCAGGCTAGTTGACTAGCAACCTTGCAAGCTGATTTGTAACAACTTCATAAAGTATTTGCTTGTAAATTGGCTGAAATTTTAATTTCAACCAGTAGTCATGAGCAAGCCAGTAGTCATCATGCAAACGATTTGGTTTAATTTGAAATTATTTGTGTTGGAATTTTGATTATATGGAATAGGCTGGGTTGCCAGTCCTCTATATTAGGTCACATCCCGCAAATGTTATTTCCAGCATGATTTCTTCAGATCAGTTTTATTTAATAACTCCAAAAATAGAAAAGTGAGGTGTAACTTTGTATTGGGACTATTTCAAGCGTATTCTAATGCAAATCTGTGGTTAAGTTTATGCTACCTACCCTTAACAAATCTGATTTTAAACCTAACTAACCTTATGCATAACCTTAAATTATGACTAAAAAGCACATTTTTGTTTTCATGAATTTTTATAATATAGCCAATTTTGACTGTGGCTGTGGTCACTAGTGGAAACCATCAATTTGCTCCTTCATCACCGTCACAAAAAGTTATCGTTAGCTAAGTGACACAGCTAACAGCTGCTTATCAGCTTCATAAACTTACAGCGGTGGAGCCTTTCTTCACAGCCTCTTGTGCATATTCCACCTGAAAAAGGTGACCGTCAGGAGAAAACACAGTGATCGCCCTATCATATCTTGCTGCCATTATGTTGTTGCTAGAAACAAATGCAGTGAAATTTTGAAAAAGTGTAACTACTCAGCTAGTGAATGTTTGCTAGCCAGTTTCTCGTGTGTGCAATCACAGCGCGCATGCGCTTGAACTCTGAACTTGGACGATTTCAATTATGAGCGTTTCCCTAAGAAAATACCCATCATTAAAAATGATCCAAGTGCAACATTTTATTTCACTCTCCATAACTCCAACATATTTCATAAGTGTGGTTCGGGACCATTGTAAGGGGTTGATACAGACATTTTCAGCGCTGTTTGGTACCCTTTCCGGAGTATTGTATTTTCCAATCCCCTGGGTTGATTTTGATTATTCCACTACTAGAAAGGGGTTGAACATATTGTATTGTTTTTATACGTCTTAATATAACGTCTTAATAATATCTCACAAAGATAAATATGTTAATGGTATTTAATCGTTGACCCCTCTAATGGACTCGCTACTACGTTACAGAATAGCGTCCTATTCTATTACCGTTCTCCTAGAAGCAGGATATTATGCTGGCAGCGCGATCGCGGATAATTTGTTTCAAAATAAGATTTGCCCTGCAAAGACATACTAAACTAGGAATATCGATTTGTTTTTGCACTCCAGTGCAGTACAACTGTTTTTCGCAGCATTGCAACGCTTTGAAAAAAATGTATTCATAATTTGAGGTATTTTGTTTTAAATTTTATAATATTATTTATACCAGCATTTATTTTGAAAGTTTACACATACTGGTATGTTAAAAGCTATTGTGTACGCTATATATTTAAAGAAATACACTTAATAAAATACAGATATACATTATTTGAATTATTCAGTCTGCATAACTTAAATGGGTCTCTTGTGCTGGGCAACTAGTTTAATACAGAGTACTGGTGACTCCTTACTCCACCCACTCCATTCACTGCAATACATGGCATATGGGATACTTATTGGCTTGTAAATAACTTTTCTACCTGTCTCAGCTAAAGTTGGGTGGGAAATACTCAGTAGGGTCTCTACTGACCAAATATGGTCCTGAAATCAATACACGCTCTACAAAAAGAAAGAAACACAATAGCCTAACGTTTTTATCAAAATGAAATCTAATGTATTTACAAGTTAAATGTAATGAATATTAACCAGGCCACAGTATAATCTCGCTTTCTGAACAGCAATGCCTTTATTTTTTATTTTTTACAAGTTGTAGGCTGATATGTGCTTCTTATCTGTCAAGGTTAGCAGTATACAGTAAAGGCATATTAACTAGTTTTTTAAAAAGTATAACATAGACAAGATTATTTATAAACTAGATTGTCATGATTATCGATCAAGGTCAGCAAAGCCACTTTTTGTAGAGTTTAAAATGCATTACAAGAGACAACAAGGCTGACGGTACTAAGTATAATCAAGCTTTCAGAACAAATATGCCGTTATCGGCCTCTGTGTTGCTTTTCTATCAAGGTTAGCAGTATACTGTAAAGGCCTATTAACCAAGTTTTCAAAGCCAATAACAGAGATAAGATTGAACGATAATCATCACGGCTCTGTATTATCTATCAAGGTCAGCAAGTTTAAAATAGTTTAAAATGTATTATGTAGTAATTTTCTCTCTGATTACTCATATAAAACATACTCTTGCATGCCATTGTGACAACTTATTCGCGTTGCACTCTAATACGACTGCTTTAGAGAATAAGCACACAAACATCACAACTACTACCGTCTGACTGTTTTCTAAAATGGGGGCACCTATGAGAAAATCATAGTTTAGTGTCACATCCACCACCAATCCATGCATTGCCAGATACTGTAATGCCAGGTATTTATATGAAGTGGAAGTATTGCATCCTTTAATTCTCATTCATACTGGTTTAAGGAATCCATCATTTTAAGATTTGATGTAATGCATTTACTGCAACTAACTATATGTTGCATATCTATGGATATAACTGTCCAATGTGACTTTTAAGTTCACAGGCACTATCACATGCTCAAAACACCACCAATTGTGCACCGTTCCAGGCACATTTGGCATAACCTCTTTGCTGTCACAAAACAGACTGTAATTCCTGACTCTCAAAATACGCAGGGGACATTAACACAAATTGTTCCTTCGGATGTGACTTAAAAAGATCATTGTATCTGTCAATTATTCGGTCACGTGTCATTGCTTAATATGTTATAATCCTCTTTAGTAAGTGGAAATGGAAGAGTTTTGGTTGTCTTTGGAATTTAAGCTTTGACCCAGATGAGTCATTCTTTGTGGATTTGTCAGAGAACAGATGACTTTTGTCTTTCTGAAGAAAATGTAGATCTTTTTCACTGTGTTTCTTTTTGTATGATACCAAATAGAACACAGCTTGCTTCAGGAATTGTTGGACCTTCTCTAAGGTAAAGCCCACAGTTGATTTTGATACTTGAGTGCAGTCAACATACCAGAGCTTTCCATGTAGTGTGTACGATTTCCCAAATTGATAATGATCTGAAAATGCTATAATACTAGATAATTCAAAGAGGTGTATGTTATATATGCAGGATATTTTATTTGTCAGGCAAAGCGATTGACCTGATGCATGTTTTGGCATGTCAAGGCTGGTCTAGGGCTGATTGAAATGTGTAAAGGTGAAACCATTACCATCACCATTAGGTTAATCTAGGTCGTTAACAGATATGCCAGTACATCATTGTTTACATGGTGTCTTTGTCTTTGTTTACTGATATTTACAACTGATATTCAACACAACAACAGTACATTAATGCATTGTTTTGGAATTAGTATAATATGCAGGACTAAATGCATATGTCTATAACACAGTCCCCCTCCAAAACTAAGCATATTTGGTTATTTCCCACCTCACTTTAGCTGAGACAGGTAGAAAAGTTCTCACTACAGCTCAATATTCTCAACATACCAGGGTCAGCATTGTATTTTTGTATTATTGGTCTTTAAAATGGCACAATAAAAGTGGCCATTGATAAAAAATGAAATGTCATTTAAATTAGTTATTCACATTCCAATGTTTTGAAATGCGGGCTTTTATTTTGAAGGTTCCTTCATTACCGTACGAAAGTGACGTCATTGTTTGTGCTGCTGGCAGAATACTAGTTCATATTCTTTACTGCCTGGTTTGAGTTCTACAGATTTGTTAGCTGTTTAGTTGTATGTTTTAGTTTATTTCGCTTAATAGCAAATCACCATGTCGGTGGCGTTTGCACCTCATAGACAACGTGGAAAGGGTGATATTACACCCGCTGGAATTCAAAAGGTAATTCATCTTTATCACGCACCACAACAGAATGGATGCGGATAGCACCAGCTGCTGCTAGCTAGCTCGCTAACTAGCCTAGCCAGTCGGCAGGTTGAACTATAGGCAGCTAACGTTAGCTAAGTAAAGAGGGAAATAGATTGGTAACAATGTTGCTAGGGTAAAGCGCGGTCAATATGAACTTCGCCGGAGTGGGCAAATCTAAAAATAACAACGTTTTTTTGTCGATTCGAGGGACTAACATTACATTTGTTTCTGATATGAATGGAGGCCTAGTATTTTCTTAGCTGGATTGTTAGCGTCTTTTGTTAGCTGGCACACAGAACAGTAACGTTAGCTGACAAATGCGTTGTTACTAGGTAGAGAAAAAGGCAAAGGCGGGACCAGCTAGCTTGTTACAATGTTGCCATTAACATCATGTACTACTCTATTCTCAAAGAAAATATGATTTTATGAGTAGTCTGGATTGGAACAACAGTTTGTCCTCTGGAGTTATATACTGTATGATTCAAGAAGTTAATACAAGCAACATTGTTTCCATGTATGCATCACAATTCCCCAACCTATTTTACATTGTATTTACTGTATTCTCTCAAATGATTTTTCACTTTAAAATGTATGCCAAACAAAAACCAATGATTGCTAAATTAGACAAACCATACAACTATGCATATGGTCTAATTTGAACAATTACACATGCAACGTTTGCTAACAGACAGCACAAACCATCATTCTGTGACCAAACTTTGCATCTGTACTGTTCTTCAAGTAAATGTGTTTTTGTGAAGTTCAATGGAAATGAAAAGTAGTCCTTGTGCATAGAGTTGTATGGTTTGTTTAGCATACGCACATTTTCTTATGTTTTCTTCCTGTTTTGCTCTGTCATGTTTCAGTTACTGGATGAAAACAATCAGCTGATTCAATGTATAATGGACTTCCAGAGCAAAGGAAAGACAGCAGAATGTTCACAGTAAGTTATCCTTTATGTACAAAAACTCCGTACCTGATGGGCTTTCAGGTTGCATACTATCATGCATCTGAGTTTTTGCAGTGTATTGATGGCTCCTCTCCCTGCGTTTTAAATGTTAACATGTGTTTTATCTGTTTTCTGTCAACAGGTACCAGCAGATGCTCCACAGAAATTTAGTTTACCTGGCCACAATAGCAGACTCCAATCAGAACATGCAGTCTCTGCTCCCTGCTGTGAGTATGGGTCCAGGGTGGAGAAGGGCAGTGATTTTACAAGAAAGGGACAATTCATTGGTACTGAATTGGATTCACTCTGACACATTTTTGGCAGAGGACAAACTTGAAGCATTCTAGGATTCATCAAGTTGTACAGATACTGTACAATTAGAAATAAGGTGTTGTTCTTGGCTCCCGATAGTTCAAAGATTGTGGTCAGTGATTTTAAATCTCGAACTAAGCATAGGGCTTTTTTTATGCCCAAAACATGACTCTTTGATGAAGGGGTCTAACAATACTCCCTCCATAAGAAACTATCATGTATTCTGATATAAAAATGTATAGATCCTGACTTGAAATAAGGGCCTTGAAATAAGGGCATAGAAATGCAACAACAGAACTAAGTTGCAATTGAAGAAGAGCCAAGCCTCTTTATATGCGTTACACTGGTAGTCAGGAACTCCACCAAATTCTACCAGTACAGGAAATTAAGCCAGTATAGTGGTTTTCCATCCCATTCCCAGGATATCTAACCCTATCAAGCTCTGACGATAGATTTTGCGGTGCATGTGAGATTGAATGTAATAATATGATATGCCTCATATGCCACCAATGGAAGATTGCCCTGTCTCCCCTATTGTTGGTCAAAGGGGAGGTGTATAATGTTCACCTAGATGCTCTGTACTTGATTTCAGAAGTGTGACTCCCCTACTCCCCCAGAGGTAAAGCTTGAAGTGAGTATGGATGGAGAAGTGGGGGTTAATTTATGATAGGGTGTCTTGGTTCACACAATGTTCATACTGTGTATTGGAGGCTATATGATTGATATTCAAACACAGGAACTTTTATTGTGAAACTTCATACAGGATACCTCTGAGATACACTGCTGGTGATAGGCTAATTGATGGCCATTGCAATAGTATGATACAGTGCAATGTAATGGTATACTCTGTGTTGATAGGCTCTCCTTTATTATAAAGGCTTACTTGTTGCTGCAATCTGGTGCTGTGAAGTAGATGATAGAATAACATGTCATATCCAGAGATTATATAACATATTATATCCACAGAAAGGCCGGACTCTTTTAATCCTGTACCTTCAATATAATTTGCATTTATTTTGAACATCATTTCTGATCTTACATTTTAAGATCCCATGGTCATCCGTCCAACAGTCTTCCTCCGTCTCCCCCCTCTTTTTCTCTCATGCATGGTTGAGATATGTATCTTAACACGGCTGGTGTTGTCTGTCTGCAGCCTCCTACTCAGAACATGCCCATGGGCCCTGGTGGGATGAACCAGAGCGGAGCACCGGGCCCCCAGCCTCCCCACGGACACAACATGCCCTCTGAGGGCATGGTCAGTGGCGGACCCCCAGCCCCTCATATGCAGAGCCAGATGAACGGACAGATGCCTGGTAAGTGACCTCCCATCCTCCCTCTATCCCTGTCTCACTCACTAGGGTTGCCTAGCAACACCACAGAGCTGGAAGAGGAGGGGAGGGTGCTCTGCTAAACGATGATGTCACCCGTCTGTGAGCTCTGGTGGTCTTGGACTCCACTTCACTGTGGTTGTGTTTGTATGCGTGTTTGTTTGTGTGTGGAGAGTAGGGCTGGGCGATATGGCCAAAATAACATCATATTTTCAAATGTTTTATCGGATGTTATGTTTTTTGAATAATACAACTTCTAAACATGCTTTATGAGCTGGATGTCCAAGATGGCGTAGCAGTGCGGTCGTGTACTCTGTAGTGTGTCCGTGTAAATAGCCTGTTTTTTGTTTTTTTGTGTATTTTTCGTATATATTTTCCCTATCACACTTTTCATCCTTCTACTAAATATACTTTCCTGCAACCCGCCTCACTCAATGTGGAACGGATTCTATTATTTACTTACCTTTTTCTAGAATCTCCAGTTAAAACTAGCGAGCCAGCTAACTAGCTACTTTCTATTAGCCACCGTTAGCGGTTTTCACCCAGAACATCGGATTTTCAGCCGGAATAACTGAATCCCTGGACCTTAACACCGGATCGCAACTAGCTAGCCACAACCGAATGGATGTTGCTGTTGGCTAATCACCACTGCCCCCGACGCAAGCACCAGTTAGCCTTGAGCTAGCCTCGAGCCAGGCCCATATCCCGGCTATCTACCTCTCTGTCCACCGGACGGGAGTAGCCAGCTAACTAGCTACTTGCTATTAGCCACCGTTAGCGGTTTTTCACCATTGTCCGTGGCCTGCACTACCTACCTACCAGCCAGCTCTAGCCTGGACTATTATCGGCCAGTCTGCACTGTCTGCACAACGCGTATTCGACCCAGAACATATCGGATTTTCTGCCTGGAATCACTGGACCTTTAACATTGGATCATCGCAACTAGCTAGCTGCAACCAAATGGATGTTGTTGTTGGCTAATCAGCCTTGAGCTAGCCTCGAGTCAGGCCCATCTCCCGGCTATCTACCTCTCTGTCAACCAGACGGGACCTCCTAGTGTCGACACGGAGACCCGCCGATCCATCACGACTGGTCTGCCGACGTAATCGTCTGTGGTTTCAACAGGCTTCCCATTGCGACGACCACGAAGATCCATCTGCTAGCCCCGGCCCGCTAGCACACGCAATTCAACAGCCATGCTTCCTGCTCGCCTGTGCTGTAGCACCAATTCGAACTGCTCTCAGACTCACATATTGCTGTTCACTGGACTTATGATCACTCAGCTGCACAGCTGATGCCTGCTGGACTGTTCCTTTACACGGTACCCTGTCCTGTTTATCTGTTTAGCCTCAGCCCAAACTTTCATCACCATTACCAGTTGTTGTCTTAGCTCTCTCAAATAACACCTGTGATTGCTTTATGCCTCTCTCCCATGTCAATATGCCTTGCCTATTGCTGTTCCAGTTAGTTCTTATTATACAATTTCACTGTAGAGCCCCAAGTCCCTCTCAAACTGCCTCAAATAGCTCCTTTGTTCCACCCCCCATACCTGCGGAGACCGGCTCAATCGGTGCCTCCAGTAATGCTATCTCTTTCATTGTTACCCAACGCTTAGGTTTACCTCCACTGTACTCATATCCTTCCATATCCTTGTCTGTACATAATGCCCTGAATCTATTCTACAACGCCCAGAAATCTGCCCCTTTTATTCTCTGGACCCAACGCACTAGAAGACCAGTTCTTAAAGCCTTTAGCCGTATCCTTATTCTAGTCCTCCTCTGTTCCTCTGGTGATGTAGAGGTTAACCCAGGACCTGCAGCCCCCAGTATCACTCCTACTCCCCAGGCGCTATCATTTGTTGACTTCTGTAACCGTAAAAGCCTTGGCTTTTTGCATGTTAACATCAGAGGCCTCCTCCCTAAGTTTGAGTTATTCACTGCGTTAGCACACTCCGCCAACCCTGATGTTCTAGCAGTGTCTGAATCCTGGCTTAGGAAGGCCACCAAAAATTCTCCAACTACAACATTTTCCATCTAGATAGAACTGCCAAAGGGGGTGGAGACCACTGCGCCTCCCGAGTTTCAACAGGAAACTGTGCCACTAGAGATCCTGGTTCGAATCCAGGCTCTGTCGTAGCCGGCCGCGACCGGGAGACCCATGGGGCGGCGCACAATTGGCCCAGTGTTGTCCAGGGTAGGGGAGGGAATGGCCGGCGGGGATGTAGCTCAGTTGGTAGAGCATGGCGTTTGCAACGCCAGGGTTGTGGGTTCGATTCCCACGGGGGGTATGAAAAAAAAATTATGTATGCACTCACTAACTGTAAGTCGCTCTGGATAAGAGCGTCTGCTAAATGACTAAAATGTAAATGTAAATGAGTTGCAATCTACTGTAGAGAGAGCCTGCAGAGCTCTATCATACTATCCAGGTCTGTGCCCAAACAGTGTGAGCTCCTACTTCTAAAAATCCACCTTTCCAGAAATAAGTCTCTCACTGTTGCCGCTTGCTACAGACCCCCCTCAGCCCCCAGCTGTGCCCTGGACACCATATGTGAATTGATTGCCCCCCATCTATCCTCAGAGTTCGTACTGCTTGGTGACCTAAACTGGGATATGCTTAACACCCCGGCCATCCTACAATCCAAACTAGATGCCCTCAATCTCACACAAATGATCAATGAGCCTACCAGGTACAACCCTAAATCCGTAAACATGGGCACCCTCATAGATATCATCCGGACTAATTTACCCTCTGAATACACCTTCGCTGTCTTCAACCAGGATCTCAGCGATCACTGCCTTATTGCCTGCGTCCATAACGGGTCCGCGGTCAAACGACCACCCCTCAACACTGTCAAACGCTTCCTAAAACACTGTAGTGAGCAGGCCTTCCTAATTGACCTGGCCCAGGTATCGTGGATGGATATCGATCTCATTCTGTCAGTAGAGGATGCCTGGTTGTTCTTTAAAAGTGCTTTCCTCTCAATCTTAAATAAGCATGCCCCATTCAAAAAATTCTGAACTAAGAACAGATAAAGCCCCTGGTTCTCCTCAGACTTGACTGCCCTTGACCAGCACAAAAACATCCTGTGGCGTACTGCATTAGCATCGAATAGCCCCCGCAATATGCAACTTTTCAGGGAAGTTAGGAACCAATATACACAAGCAGTTAGGAAAGCAAAGGCTAGCTTTTTCAAACAGAAATTTGCATCCTGTAGCACCAACTCCAAAAAGTTTTGGGACACTGTAAGGTCCATGGGGAATAGGAGCACCTCCTCCCAGCTTCCCACTGCACTGAGGCTAGGAAACACTATCACCACCGATAACTCTACAATAATCGAGAATTTCAACAAGCATTTTGCTATGGCTGGCCATGCTTTCCACCTGGCTACCCCTACCTCGGCCACCAGCTCTGCACCCTCCGCTGCAACTTGCCCATGCCCCCCCCGCCCCCCGCTTCTCCTTCACACAAATTCAGACAGCTGATGTTCTGAAAGATCTGCAAAATCTGGACACCTACAAATAATCTGGGCTAGACAATCTGGACCCTTTCTTTCTAAAATTAGCCTCCGAAATTGTCGCAATCCCTATTACTAGCCTGTTCAACCTCTCTTTCGTAACGTCTGAGATCCCCAGAGATTGGAAAGCTGCCACGGTCATCCCCCTCTTCAAAGGGGGTGACACTCTAGATCCAAATTGTTACAGACCGATATCCATCCTGCCCTGCCTTTCGAAAGTTTTTGAAAGCCAAGTTAATAATAATAATAATAATAATAATAACAAACAGATCACTGACCATTTCAAATCCCACCGTACCTTCTCCGCTATGCAATCCGGTTTCTGAGCTGGTCATGGGTGCACCTCAGCCACGCTCAAGGTCCTAAACGATATTATAACCGCGATCGATAATAGACAGTACTGTGCAGCCGTCTTCATCGACCTGGCCAAGGCTTTCAACTCTGTCAACCACCGCATTCTTATTGGCAGAGTAAATAGCCTTGGTTTCTCAAATGACTGCCTCGCCTGGTTCACCAACTACTTCTCAGATAGAGTTCAATGTGTCAAATCGGAGGGCCTGTTGTCTGGACCTATGGCAGTCTCTATGGGGGTGCCACAGGGTTCAATTCCCGGGCCGACTCTTTTCTCTGTGTATATGAATGATGTCGCTCTTGCTGCTGGTGACTCTCAGATCCACCTCTACGCAGACAACACCATTTTGTATACATCTGGCCCTTCATTGGACACTGTGTTAACAAACCTCCAAACGAGCTTCAATGCCATACAACACTCCTTCCGTGGCCTCCAACTGCTCTTAAACACTAGTAAAACTAAATGCATGCTCTTCAATCGAACGCTGCTGGCACCCGCCCACCCGACTAGAATCACTACTCTCGGCGGGTCTGACGTAGAGTATGTGGACAACTACAAATACCTAGGTCTCTGGTTAGACTATAAACTCTCCTTCCAGACTCACATTAAGCATCTCCAATCCAAAGTTAAATCTAGAATCGGTTTCCTATTTCGCAACAAAGCCTCCTTCACTCATGCTGCCAAACATGCCCTCTTAAAACTGACTATCCTACCGATCCTTGACTTCGGCGATGTCATTTTTCAAAATAGCTTCCAACACTCTACTCAGCAAATTGGATGTAGTCTATCACAGTGCCATCCGTTTTATCACCAAAGCCCCATATACTACCCACCACTGTGACCTGTAAGCTCTTGTTGGCTGGTCCTCACTATATATTCGTCGCCAAACCCACTGGCTCCAGGTCATCTATAAATCACTGCTAGGCAAATCCCGCCTTATCTTAGCTCACTGGTCACCATAGCAACACCCACCCGTAGTATGCGCTCCAGCAGGTATATCTCACTGGTCATCCCCAAAGCCAACACCTCCTTTGGCCGCCATTCCTTCCAGTTCTCTGCTGCCAATGACTGGAACGAACTGCAAAAATCTCTGAAGCTGGAGACTATCTCCCTCACTAACTTTAAGCATCAGTTGTCAGAGCACCTTACCGATCACTGCACCTGTACACAGCCCATCTGAAATTAGCCCACCCAGCTACCTCATCCCCATATTGTTATTTATTTAGCTCATTTGCAGGTAGCCTAGTGGGTAAGAGCGTTGTGCCAGTAACCGAAAGGTTGCTGGTTCTAATCCCCGAGCCGACTAGGTGAAAAATCTGTCTGTGCCCTTAAGCAAGGCACTTAACCCTAATTGCTCCTGTAAGTCGCTCTGGATAAGAGCGTCTGCTAAATGACTAAAATGTAATGTATCTCTATTTGCACATAATCTCTTGCACATCTATCATTCCAGTGTTAATACTAAATTGTAATTATTTTGCCTTCATAACTTGCTACATTTGCACACACTGTATATATATTTTCTGTTGTATTTTTGACTTTGTTTTGTTTACCCCATATGTAACTGTTGTTGTTTTTATCGCACTGCTTTGCTTTATCTTGGCCAGGTCGCAGTTGTAAATGAGAACTTGTTCTCAACTGGCTTACCTGGTTAAATAAAGGTGGGGGAAAAAATGAGTAGTTCATGACCCGGATTGTTTTATACTGTTCAATCCAACTTCAAACAAAACAATTTCAGCAGAGCTGCATGGTATAGGGCAAAAAATCTAGACCTAGTTAATTGGTGAACTGTTGGAATCATGGAAAATTGAATGATTATTCGAATTCTATAGTTGGAATATAGTGGGCAGCACCTTGTTGTTTGACATGACAACGAATGAAGAAGCCATGAAGGAATTATTAACAGACTGCAGAGTGAACAGCAAGAAACTGCTTGTGACTCAATGGTTGAGCAACTGCTGTCTCGTTAAGTGACAGGGGGCGGGGCTTGGTTGTGGGAAGCAGCATGCAGCAGGAGGAGAGGGAGAAAGACATCTCAAGTAGCAAACTGAGGCAACTATAACGGACATTACACGCACCAGGGTTGTTTATCACATTTAACAAACCAAACATTGAAATAATGTAATAGAAGGTAAAGTAAAAACCAAAACCTGTCCTTGATTCAATACCAGTATATAGTAAAATACGGTATACCGCCCAGCCCTAGGGGAGAGACTGCTAACATTTAGTATACTTTGTTCTGCTGCAGGGTAGATTGACCAATTATTACCAGTTGTCAAGGCTCTACAGCACACATGCTCATACATATTAGAATAGGGAGAAAATACTTTCTCAGGAAAGTGAATGTTTTAATAAAATAATTCAATCTTAATCTCTGTACTGTATGGTCATATATCTTCCTAAAGGTTGAATGATCTGTCCTTTTTTTCTCAGGGCCTAATCACATGCCCATGCAGGGCCCTGGGCCGGGTCCCAACCAGCCCCCCAACATACCCGGCAGCGGCTCCATTAACATGCCCCCCAGCAGCCACGGCTCCATGGGCGGCTACAACCACGCTGTGCCGCCCTCTCAGGGCATGCCTGCCCAAGGCCAAATGAACATGACCCAAGGACCCATGGGCAACTACGGCCCCCGGCCCAACATGAACATGCAGCCTAACCAAGGTACAGGAAAGAGGAAAACAAACGTCTCCTTGAAAGACCTTCTCTTTGACCCATACACATCTTTTGATGATGACATCCACCCATGAATGCTTTATTGTTTAGTTTTTTCAAATTGGGTTCTGTAATGACATATTGTGTGTTTTTGTGTTGTTCCCGCCCCAGGGCCCATGATGCACCAGCCTCCCTCCCAGCAGTACAACATGCCCCCTGGGGGTGGCGGGCAGCACTACCAGGGCCAGCAGAACCCCATGGGCATGATGGGCCAGGGGAACCACGTGATGGGGCAGAGGTCCATGCCCCCTTACAGACCCCCACAGCAAGGTACGCTCTGCTCTACAGAGTGGGCACTGGGCCAAGGCGCTTGGTTTGACTTGATACAGGGCTGAAACCTCTTCTCCTGTCCCTAACCCCCTTTCCACTTCGTCTTTAAGTGGAACTATCTTTCACTTACACTGCCGTTGCTCATAGACACAGGTAGCCCCATTACCATAGAAGGAACACCCAGGTGCCCTGAAGGTTGTTGTCAGCCCCAGACAACTGAACTATAGTTTGGGGACCAGGAGCTCTCTAGCGAATTAAGCGGCCCAAATTCCAACCTCACTCCCCTTTACCCACCGAAATGACCCCCCCCCCCCCCCCCCCCCCCCTCCTCCCTCCCGCCCCAACTACACCTTGAATCAACCTGTGTGTGTTGTGTGTGTGTATGTAGGACCCCCTCAGCAGTACCCAGGGCAGGAAGACTACTATGGGGACCAGTACAGTCACGCAGGACAGGGAGCCTCAGAAGGTAGGAGAACCAACCCTCCAACCAACCAACCGCTCGTAGAAACAACCAAACCTCTCCGTCCGTCTAACGTTCACTTAGAGAAGCTGTATTGAGGCATGGAGAAGGACAGAGGATAGAGAGTACCAAAACAACATTGTGTGACAGTGACACCGTCCCTCAGCTAAAGCCAGTGAATTGCTCAGCACCACTTTACACCCGAGCCGCATAGAGACAGATCATCAATGGTTTATGTTGGTTCCACCGCAGTTATCTAGAAAATTTGTGGAAATAGAGAATGGAAGCTGTCTTTAACTGTTCAGTTGGACAGTCAAAGTGCTCTGTAATCCTGGCAAGAAGGAAGCTCTGATGTTTGCCCGCCCACCATCCCTCCGGAGCTCTGCGTCTTCGATAAACAAATAGCTAGTCGTCTAGTTATTCTGTCAAACTGTTATCTTGTGGAGGTGGGGCTCCAAATGCGTACTGCGACTCAATCCAGGAAGTTGATCTTAGGTGGCGCTTTTAGCGGAAGTGGAGGTCCTACTTTAGCAGAAGCCCCACGCACGAGTTGACAGATGTTGTGTTGAAGACTCCTGGTGGAAAAGCAGACTAGTTGGACTGGGATTTTTCACCAGTGATTTTCCACCCCTCCATAGTGATTTTGCATCATAGCATCCCCATCAACGATTATTCTTAAATTAATAACTTTCTCTTGCATGTGTCAATCACTTTTACACCTTTCTGAGTTGTCTACTTTCTATTCCCTTTCAAACTTTGACACAGTACTCTCCAGTCTCATAGCTAGGTTGTACTCTGATGGGAATTACAGGATTTAAATATTGTCTTGTAAAACTGTATATTCTCAAAAGAAATTGAAACAAAAAAATTCCAGTGTTTACTTATCACTTTTGCAAAACTATATTTATGAACATTGATACCCACACACACAGAGACATTGCTTGAAGCAAAATAAAAGATGTACCGGTATATAACAATCTGTATATTTATAATCCCCTGATTTTCCCCCTCATTGACCTCAAACATGGACATGAAATAACATGTCTTCCTATCTCCTTGTGAAATAATGCTATAGGTGGTTTGCTACAGCCACCGTTCCCTGATCAAGGCTTTGATCCCTCAGAACAATACTACCAAGGAGGTATCTATGTAGCTTCTCAGAAATGTACACACAGGGGAAAAGGAAGAAGCTAAGCTAAAGACACATGATGACTTATGGAACTTTTGTGTTGCTTCTGCTTTTATGGAGACATTTCTGAGACTTCTTTCCAAATGTGACAAAGGCTATTGTGTTTGATAACTGCAGTAGCCTAAATGCTAGCTCTTTACAATTAATAACATAACTCAAATACACTTTCTACACCAGTATTATTTCCCCCGTTTAGCCTTCCCTGGCCAGCTGAAGCTTTCTGATTTTGTTCTAAGTCTCTGCTCTCTGTTTTCTGGCTTCATGTCCCTCAACGCTATGCACGTGACTACTTTTAATCGTTCTTGATTTATCACTCACAAATATTTCATTTCTCATAAATGTTGTTGTTCCAGCTTTGTTTTATTAATGGCTCATAGCAGGTGTCAGGTAAGGATGCTAAAAAGGAGTCACTATAACAACCCTGTTGCATATAAAAACAAACAAAAATTAACGTAATGTTTTAATGGGCGTGCTCACAGTGTTGGTTCTTTTCTCCTGTGGTTCTTGTCTTGTCTGCCAGAGCGAGACCCAGCAGCCAACCAACAGTCCCCCTATGAAAAAGATAATGGTTTGTTAACTTTGTTTGTTAACAGCCTAAATCAGTGTTTTCAAAAAACGTTCTGATCAGGGTTGGGGTCAATATCCTGTTCAATTCAGGAAGTAAAATAAAATTCCAATCATGGTGTTGGTTCTTTTCTCCTGTGGGTCATGTCTGCCAGAGCGAGACCCAGCAGCCAACCAACAGTCCCCCTATGAAAAAGATCATGGTTTGTTAACTTTGTTTGTTAACAGCCAAAATCAGTGTTTTCAAAAACGTTCTGATCAGGGTTGGGGTCAATATCCTAGTCAATTCAGGAAGTAAAATGAAATTCCAATCATGGTGTTGGTTCTTTTCTCCTGTGGGTCATGTCTGCCAGAGCGAGACCCAGCAGCCAACCAACAGTCCCCCTATGAAAAAGATAATGGTTTGTTAACTTTGTTTGTTAACAGCCAAAATCAGTGTTTTCAAAATACATTCTGATCAGGGTTGGGGTCAATATCCTGTTCAATTCAGGAAGTAAGCTGAAATTCCTATCATGCTGGGAAAATTTGGAATTGGAATTTCAGTTTACCTTCCGACTTGACTGAATTGAAATGGACCCCAAGCCTGATTCTGGCCACACTAAGCATTGATGCCTGCTGTGTTGTCGTCAAACCTGGTTCAGATACTGTAATGTCACAGATACCGTAATGTCTCTCTGTTGCCCCCTGTAGGTAACGCCCAGTATGGCCAGCAGCAGGAGGCCTACCAGCAAGGTCCTCCCCAGCAGCAGGGCTACCCCCCACAGCAGCAGTACCCCGGACAGCAGGGCTACCCTGGACCGCAACAGGGCTACGGTGGGTGGAACCTCAGCAACATCATTGAATCAGTCTGTCTCGGTCTCTCTGTTTCTCGCTCCTTATCTCTCACTCCTCTCTCTTTCTTTTCTCTCTTTCTCTTTTAATTTTACCATAGCTTATTACTTTGTATACTTTTTTACTGCAATGGGAAATAAAAAGATGTTGGTGTGTTCCCATGCTCTGATGACGTCTGGCAGTCAGTCCACGCTCATCCTGTAGGAGGCACCACTTACTTTCCTTTTCATTGTCTTGAAACATCAGTCCTAAATTCCAAATGGCACTCATCCAGATCCTCACATATGTTTACTGAACCGCACCACTGTTTTGCCAATTGATATGGTGCACTTTCAATGTTGCAGCAGCACAATCAAGGCTACACATGCTGGCACGTTGATCAGAAGAGGTAGCTGGCAGACATTGGCGCTGGGTTAGGTGTCCCTCTAGTACTGCGGTGAGTGACTGTATAGGCCTAGTCACTGTGTGATAGAAAGGTTCTGGCCTCAGAAAGCTAGAGATGGCGAGAGAGTGAAAGAGAAAGGAATAGGACAGGCTTATGGGTAATCACCCTCGGCAGTGTGGGCGTGGGAACCACAGCCCCCCTCGTTCGCTTTTAAAATCCTGTCAGCTCTCCTTTCTCTCTGAGCCAGAGGCCTTTCTCTCATGTCAGTAATGAGCTGGTGGAAAGAGGCAGAGGCTGTGAGTTGGGCTCCATCTGGCACACACACACACACACTTGTTCGCTCTCACAGGCGGGCCCCACAAGGTTAAGATTTGCTGTAGCTGCGTCTGCATTACGAGCACCTAATGACGTTTGACTTGGCCCAGTCAGTCATTCATTGAATCACTGATCAGCCGTTAGAATGCCTGATAACATGGTGCTATGCGTTGGTAAGGTTGCAGAGGCTGTCTGATGCAGTGATTTTTAATGAGGGCCCCTTGATGTCTCCTTGCATTAGAAAACTTAACACCAAGCCCTGGTTCTGGCTACAGCTACGGCTGCAGTAAGTCAGACTCTCTCATTACACAGCAGAGTAGGCCAGTGTTAATGTGGAGCCAAACTTCAACAAATGGGCCAGGGCCCAACTAATACTACTACCACCCACCAGTCTCTCTCTGCCATGCCTCTGGCTGGCTGTCTGGTTGTCAATGGATATGTCTATTGGAGTGCATTGGGGAGATAAAGGTTAATTGACACTCTCAAGAACAAGACGTGTCATAATGATGGACATCAAACAGAACAAAGTCAGTGAATCAAGTGCGCTGTTATACTCCCAGGTTGACTGTGTGGTTTTTGTTATTGAACAGACCAGTCTTCTTAACTGGTCATATATGGTGTGAAGAACTGTAGCATCATGTTTCAGTCAGACATCATAACCTTTTTCTCTCTGCTCTGTCCCCCTTTCCCAGGCCCGTCCCAGGGAGCCCCAGGCCAGTACCCCCAGGGTTACCCCCAGGGCCAGGGGCAGCAGTATGGGGCCTACCGGGGCCCCCAGCCCGGCCCCCCTCAGGCCCAGCAACAACGCCCATACCCAGGCTACGATCAGGTGAGTATGAGCCCATGAGTAGGCAGGCCTAACCTCTATCTGTATGTGACTCTTATTGTGTCCTTTTATATGTTGGCTAGAGATGGATGGAAGTTAAAGATATAACGTTAAGTTTATCCAGAGTTCAGGGAGTGTCCATAAGCAAGAGACCAGGGTGGAGTGGGTGTCTTGTGCATGCTGACATTGTATGGGGAGTTTAAGACAAGTGGAAAAGAGTTGAATAATATATTGCCTTGGATAATACAACAAGTCAGACCAGAGCACTGCAATGCAAGGGCAATGTAGTGTCTCCTCCCTAAACATAACTGACTTTTGAGAGTGTTGAAGAGGAGGGGAAAGCTACGTGTTGCCCTGTATTTTCTGTGGTCCTTTGCGGGGGCCACAGCAACACTTTGATTCTTTATCTTTGAATATTCAGGGACACATGAGGAAATAAAGACCCGGGGATTTGAACCCCTGACTAGCTCTGTAAGAAGCAAAGGTAATGGTTGCTGTGAAGATGTCACCTCAATGTCAAATCTGGACGTGTGGCCGTTCGCCTAGCCTTGATTTGCATTCGTCATGTTTCTCCTCCTGTCTTCTATTTAAACATCTGATTTCCACCTTTACTTTACCTCTTTTTGTAACCAGGGGTCGAATTCTATTCTTGAGGTCTTCAAACACATCAAGCATAATCTGTAGGGGAACTTTAAAAAATAAATGTAGATGGTTTGGAATTGACCTAATCAATCAAAAGTACAACTCACCATCCCTTGGGTTATTATTCATCCCTTTTCATGCAATATACTGCATTTAAATGTTTTTTATGCGTAATTTAATAATTATGCACTGTGTAGAATAATATATGATCAAAGTAAGTCAAATTGAAACAAAATAAATCAGAATGTGTAACTAATAACTTTTATTCCTAAAGAGCAGCCACTTTCGACCCCTGTTTAGAAATGCACCTGCAAAATACCAAACATGGCCCTCTTATCATGTGAAATGTACAAGTCAGAGAGCAGCATTTTGCCCACTGCTAAAGTACACTGATATTAAGTTACCGTACTTCCCTACTGTTGAGTGTTGCTGAGGCCATGCTGCCACCTGCTGGTTAAATCCAGCCAATGCAGCCAGGCACAGGAATAGTCTGCATCAACATAAGGTTGATAACTAGCTACCACATATGTGCTTGTTTGCATCCTGTTTAGATATGTAAATATTAGCATATGTAAATATTAGCATTTCCCTAGTAAATGCCTGTTTGTTCAGATGTTAGGATGAAAAGTCATTAAGATGTGCCCATTTACAGTACTCCCTTCCTCCCTCCACAGGGTCAATATGGAAATTACCAGCAATGAGAGATGGTCATGGCAGTCACTCAGTCAGTCACCAAGAGCCCTGCTCTGACCTCTAACCTCTGACCTCTGTACAACTGTTATCTGGACTTTTATAACGGCTGCAGCTCACCGAGACACGCCCCACCCCCACACACACTTTGCCCTCTGTATCCCCTATATCTGGGCCTTATGTAATGAGATTGTGTTCACTTCCATTTCTCCCCTTCTGGTCTGAGTTAATAGTCTCAAAGCAGCAATGCCTTAAAACCAAACAGAGCTGCCTTATCCAGAGCACTGCAGATTGTGAAAAGGGCAAAAAATTACACGTAAAATTCATTTTGTGTATATCACAGAGGACAGAAGTGTACAGAACTAAACTTCACACTCTTGAAGGGCAATGTTTCTCCATCCAATAGCCCCCTGTTCATAAGAAGCAATAATGCCAATGGGAAGTGGAGGGGTGGGACGAGGATGGAGTGAGGAGATCTTACACCAGAAACAAAATTATGTAAGGCTATGGTACATGTCAAGGTCAACATATGTGATGTAAAAATGTATTTTATGCTTTTTAGATGGAGCTAACTTTGTATAAGAATTTGGAGTACTGTTGAATATTGGTTGTTTTTTCCTCCTGAAGTTTTAGGTCTCTTGATGTAAGTTGTGATAACATTGTCTTCATCTCCCATTTTGTTTGTTATTTTGTTATTTGTACCCCTGAGTGCCCTTTGCTTCTTCAGTGATTTGTACATCGAATATGTGCTTGTGGTGAACAAATCGGATCCCTTGGTTTATGAATGGATTGTACATAGAAAGCCCTCAAAAACAAACTGAGAACACCTATCTGTATTGGAGCATCATTTTAAATTTTAAATTTTAGTCATTTAGCAAACGCTCTTATCCAGAGCGACTTACAGTTAGTGAGTGCATACATTTTCATACTGGCCCCCCGTGGGAATCGAACCCACAACCCTGGCGTTGCAAGCGCCATGCTCTACCAACTGAGCTACACGGGACCACATCAGTGGTGAAGCATTATTTATTTGGGCAACAGAACTAGACCATGACCTGTGAGTGGGGCTGTATTCTGACATTGAGATCTACAGTATGTGTGTAACTAGGGTTGCAAAGCTAGGTTACCAGAATGTTCTGTAATTTTGGTAATTAACAGAATCTATGGCAATCTATCGTAACTTCGGTAATCTATACTTGAATAACTTTTTTTAAATGTGTTCGTATATAGTGTTCAATTATTGTATCTGTGACCATATTGTCCAAGAGTTTCTACTAGATAGTAGTGCGGCAGGTAGCGCGTTGGGCCAGTAACCGAAAGGTTGCTGGTTCGAATACCTGAGCCGACAAGGTGAAAAATCTGTCGACTTGCCCTTGAGCAAGGCACTTAACCCTAATTTGCTCCAGGAGCGCCATGGCTGACCCTGTAAAAGAACACATTTCACTGCACTTATCTGGTGTATGTGATGTTTTTAATTTTATTTGACCATATTCTTCAAGAGAAAATAACCAAATTAATGGCAAAAAGTATCTAATCATCAATGACATTATTTTCAATTAACTGCAACTCCTCCAACGATTGACTTTTTTCACAACTTCCACCAGTTTGATGCCAAAACATTAACCTCTACGGGATCGGTGTCCCTTATACCGGATGGTTGTTGATCAATATGCGATTTATGACTAGAATGGTGTTGTAAACAACAGGCAACTTTCCGGGACATAGACATGTCTTATATGGACAGAAAGCTTAAATTCTTGTTAATCTAACTGCAGTGTCCAATTTACAGCAGCTATTACAGCGAAAAAATACCATGCTATTGTTTGAGGATATTGCACAACAACAAAACACTTATCACAGCAACTGGTTTGGTACATTCACCTCTGAAGGTTAATAATGTACTTACATTCAGTAATCTTGCTCTGATTTGTCATCCTGAGGCTCCCAGAGATAAAATGTAGTGTAGTTTTGTTTGAAAAATCAATTTGTATATTCAAATGTAGGAACTGGGTTCTACAGTTTGACCTCTGACTCCACACCCACTCCACCCGGCCATCTAGATGTGTGAAGGTTAGTGTCTTTTCTGTAGGGAAGCTAATGATCCATCATTGATGACATTCCTGGGAGTGTGCAAACTTAAATGTTGTATTACCATAGAGTTTTTGAATGTTTTCTATAGTTATGTACTTGAAAACCAATTTGGCACATTTGGGAAAGCTCCTGGCAAACTTGATACAAAATATTGTATAGTGATGTAATTCTTCACTGGGTCAGTCTAAAACTTTGCACACACACTGCTGCCATCTGGTGGACAACATCTAAATTCCATCTAGAATCCTACATCACTGTCTGGCCTTTCTCTTGCATTTCAAAGATGATGTAACAACAAAATAAATAGAAAACGCATGATTTTTTGTTTGTATTATCTTTTACCAGATCTAATGTGTTATATTCTTGAAAAAAAGGGTCTAATCCAATACAAATACATATTGACATAAAATAAATAAAAGTTTGTAAAAATGACATTTCAGGCTGAAACCCTCATATTAAACACCAATGATATTCACTAAGTTTATATTTAGGATTGTTTTACAGCTTTGTAATATTTTTTAATCATCTGATTAAATGATATCATATATGTTAAATGTCATAACCCACACAGAAGGCCAGAGATTATTACAGACACTTGTCATAATCTGAATTGCCCAAATGGGCCACTAGAAATCTTGTGATGGATTGTATAAAATCCTTCAAAGATACAACAATTCTGGTAGTTTACTGGTCAACTTCGAAAGTTTCAAGTAATACACCCTCCCTTTGCAACCCTATGTGTAACACAAAGCAATGAGCCCATATTCATAAAGTGTCTCAGATTAGGACGGCTGAATTGGGATCAGTTTTGCCTTTTAGATCACAATATGTAAGAGTAAATGGATAGGGGAGACCTGATCCTAGATCAGCACTGCTACTTTGAGACACTTTATTAATAGGGCCCCTGAATGCTTCCAGTGCCCCCTGTTTCTCTTCAAAGTTGAAGTTAGAAGCATGTATTTTATGGCCTTGGCGCTTCAGTGTGCTCCGTTATTGACAGCTGGATAAGAGGTGGATTCAGTTGGGGGATATTCCAAACGTATGTCTAATGTACATCAGACACAGCTCTCTGGAGAATAGTGTCTGCTTGATACATTACATTTTTATCTGCAACTTTATGAAAATTTTGCCATAATGGGTCTGAGGGAGTCCATTGACCACAGACTGTCGTACATTCAGTATGTTCAGACCCACATATGCTTGTTTCAGTCAGAATGAGTCTTCTTTACAATGTTGTAAGGCATTTCTCCCCTGAATAAACGTTTACGTTTTTGTCATTTAAAAAAAGTGTCATGTACGTTAATCACCAACAGAATAAAATGAGTTATGTGGATTATAACATAAGTGTTACGTTATACTCTAAACTGAGTGTTGCTGTAATGCTTTGAGATACATTTCCTATGATGTCATGCAACATTTCACTCTTGTACAGACTGGTTGTGTTATTTTATGAAACCTTGGGCTTGATATACGTTTGTACTATATGCATACATCATGCACATGTTATAGAGAAGATAGAAGTATGGTGATTGGTTTCCAGTCAGCCTCAAAGATACTAACCTTGGTATGCTTTAGTACATACCTTGTAATGAATGTTTTGTTTTTCATTCCACACCCTGTAGCCAACATGATGTTACTGTAAGTGTCATTGTGATGTGAAACTGTACAGTCTGTCACTGTGAAAAACTGCAACAATAAATTGCTAGAATTTTTGTATACACTTGTGTTGGATTGTTATACAATTGTCTTTCTTCAAATGTCTCTGTACTTGAAATGCATCGACATAGACAATATCGTCTAAGTTTACTTTGTGATTTCCTTGTTTTGAATATCTGTTCATGTATTTACTGTACAGTATTAGCTCAGTAAATTCCCAACCTACCCTGCATTCCAGATGTATCTGGAGAGGTCCTGGGCACATTTACACCAAAAATGACCTTCCCTTTCAGCTCCCCCCTCCAGAGAGGGAGAGGGACTACCTGTCACGTAGGGGGGAGAGATACAGATGGTGCACCATATGTGTGGCCGGAGCACGTGACCAGACTGGACATGGTGTTAGAGGGCCACTGCCTGACCCTGCCCTGGTGCTGATGTGTTTGTGTGTTAGAGAGGGTGTTTATAGATGTCAGACACTAAGAGAAAGACAGTAAGAGAGAAATCTTCTTAAACGTGTTTGCACTCCTTTATAATGATCTGCATGTAGCCTGTGCGTGTGTATGTATGTATGTGCAGTGCTCAAGGTCTGGTGGCATCTCCCAGTC